CTCTCTCTCTCTCTCTCTCTCCCTCTCTCTCTTCAAGACAAGCCTAACACCCGTCCAGCCATAAGCTTGGACTCCAAACGATCACAAAAGCTCGACCAGGTAGCGTCCGAGCAGGAGAGACTCGAACATAGACCATGGTTCCAACTGCTCTGAGTACATAGACCGGGTAGCGCCCGAGCAGGACAGACTGGAACTTAGACCATGGTTCCAACTGCTCTAAGTACATAGACCGGGTAGCGCCCGAGCAGGACAGACTGGAACATAGACCATGGTTCCAACTGCTCTAAGTTACTGAGTACTGCTCAACTCTCTTCCTCAGTAACACCATTGCCAGTACAGGTGGACGACAAACAGGTTCCAGGACTTGACTTCGCCGTCGATGACCTCGGCTTTGATCACACCCTCAGCGTTGTAGTTCTTCTTGTTGTCGATCCACATTCTGGTCAAGATGTTCAGGCCCCTCACTTCTCCGCAAGGGCTGAACGAGATGCCCTCCGGACAAACCTCCTGAATGGTGTACGACCTACCAGCGATGGGCTTCTTCAGAGCATCCCACTTGGCAATGCGCTCGCAAGCCGGCTGTCCTCCTTGGTAATAGTACTTGGCCGATTGATAAGCGACTAAACCCTTCTGCAGCTCCACCCATCCCTGGTAGGTCCACTTGCTGGCCACGTACGTCCAGCCAGCAGGATAATCGAGGTCGACGGTGATGATGCACGACTTCTGACGGTCCTTCAGCGCCGCTGGAACGGCCACCTGGTAGTCCAGAAACGGAATGGTGACGGCCTGGTTATCAGCAGAGATGCTGACTAACGGTGTCTCATAAGGACATCCCGACCCAGCAACGGTCACCTTCCTGATCTTCACAGCGCCGAGAGTAACTGTCACGGGGCCAAGCAGCCGGCGAGGGCCTGCAGCCTCAACGTTGTGCACACCGGCGGCCGCCATAGCCGCAAACATCACGATCATCAACAAACAGCTAGCCGACGTCATTGTCGCTCCTCACGTACTCAGCAACTGCTCGTCGTGCGTAGAGAAAGGATAAGCACACACAGACTACAATAGAGCCCTCTCGCAGGCACGATAGCTCGCGCACGACCACCTCTCTTCCCCTAAAGTTTCTGTCCTGCACAGTACAGCCCACTAAATCCCAGAGTGCTTGATGGCCACACTTGCTCGTGCTTAAGACGAATTCGCGCACGTTTTTATAGGATATCCGACAAGACCGAGCCACCCAAGTGCATGAGTCACACGCCAGCCTTGTTGTCTCGTCCGTACTGGGAGTCTTCGCCGTCTGCCTTGAGGCCATCTTCGCCCCATTAGAAGGACCGGCCATCGTAGGTGCATTGCTGTGCTGCAAGTTGCAGTCCCGATACAGCGGTTGCTTTCTGCCGTTGGATGGAGCGGAGGAGAACGTGATCGGCGATTATCGGAACGATGTCCGCTGGATCGTCGTTGTCAGAATGCATCTGGACGTTAAACGGTGCTGGATGAGGACGTGCATGCATGTTCGGGAATTCAGAGCAATGGCGTGGACTCTGGGCGGAGTGGGCGACGCGATCGGCGGTGACCGGACGACTTCCCTGGACTGTTGTTGTCAGAATGTATCTGGACGTTAACCATCTATTAGGTGAGGACGTGCATGGATGTCCCGGAATTCACACAATGGGCCCCGCCCCACCACTCATAATGTGCAAAAAAGAGAATGAATCTTCGGCTAGAAGATGGAGAGATACACCGCAATACTTTTTGTCAGTTGTGCATGTCGAGAGACTAGAGTAGTGGCGCAAGACCCAATGGCAATCCTGGACTTGTTGCAGTTGCCTCGCCCTATGCATCTGACTGTAAATACGGTCACATGCCGTCGAGAAGAGAAATCTGGGCATCACACTTCTTACACGTGGCCACCTGTCGAAGCCACACTCCCTCTCTCTCTCTCTCTCTCTCTCTCTCTCTCTCTCTCTCTCTCTCTCTCTCTCTCTCTCTCTCTCTCTCTCTCNCTCTCTCTCTCTCTCTCTCTCTCTCTCTCTCTCTCTCTCTCTCTCTCTCTCTCTCTCTCTCTCTGTGTCTCTGTGTCTCTGTGTGTGTGTGTGTGTGTGTGTGTGTGTGTGTGTGTGTGTGTGTGTGTGAGATCTCGCCCTTCTCTAATGACGTAAGAACAAATAGGCTAATAGCTCACCCCTTCTAAGCTCTCTGAGACACTCTGTGGACGCCTGACACGAGCAGGCGCATGGGACGCCAATTGAAACCTCTCGATTGCATCCGTAACAAGTATACGCACGCCTCGAAACTCCAGCGGGGGCTTAGGCTGTTCAAAACGACACCTTCCACTCCTCTTTTTGTTTTTCAGGGTGCCATTTCCCCCCCTCAAAATTCAGATTCGGGGGTCCTCTACATTACATTCCCGAAGGATTCTGGAAGCATCATCCCTCTTGGCTTTGGGGGACCCCGCAGCTCGAAGTCGGCCTGGCAGGAGTGGGACACACAAATAAATGGAGAATACACACATCTTAGTCCCGTATTCGACGAAATTCTGGAACTAATTGCCTCAAGGATTCAAAAGAGGGACACTCGCTGGAGGGATGCTTTGCCATCGCCTCTCAAGTTCGCCTTCACACTTCACAGATGGGCCATGTGGGGGGTTTACCGGAAGTGTTGGAGGCTTGGAGCGACTTCGGGATGGGATGGGAATACACAGCGCTATCAGATGCATGGGCGACGTGGCAAGAGCTATTTGTGTGGAGTACGGGCATATGTTCTCTTGGTCAACAGGCACTTGCTTGCAAACGACCCTCGACTACTATGAGGGGAAAGGCTTCCCACGCTGTATCGGCATCATTGACTGTACACACATCTACATTGACAAGCCACGTCTACATTGACAAGCCACGTGGTGGGGAGGCGCCGAGGCGGAGCCGTACTTCGATCGCAACAGGCACTACTCAATCCAAGCGCAGGTTATGTCAACTTATGTGCGATGAGAACCTGTGCATACTTGACGTTGTCGTCGGCACACCTGGTTCCGTTCATGATTCACGAGTTATGCGTCTGTCTCATATGTGCTGGCGTGGAGAGGAAGGGAGGGCACCTTTCACGTGGATGACGAATGCGTTGATGGATGGTGTGGTGAAGAGAGTCTAAGTTAGCCTGAAGTGCAGTGAGAGTCGACAATCCGATAAGGACGTCATTTGTGTTTACGTTTAGAATCATGACATCCCCCAATGCATCGACTTTTCCTAGTCTGAAAGCGACATTCGTCATCCTTCCCGCCACTTCGACTTTCTCCTCATCAGCGGAGATAAGGTGGTCCCCCTCTGTTAACCGTATCAAAATTTTCCTCCTTCCAGCTTGTTCCACCACCTTAAGGGAGATGGCTAGTACTGGTGTCCCTGAATCGAGGATTGCGTTGTACGAGACTCTCCATACTTCAACATCACATTCTGCAGACTTCCAAAAAATAACCTTAATACGTAGGAAATGGTCGTTTTTTTTGGATCAGCCCCAATCGTACTGGGTCCGAGATACTGGGAACATCGGGTTTGTCCTCACGGATGGGAGCCTTTCTGCTAATAGATACTAGCTTAGTGAGGGCAAACAATTTTCAGTTCGCCTTGCAATGTAGTAACATTCGCTCGTTTGCCTGTTCCGATATAGACAGAAGGTGTCGGATTGGCAAGGGAATCCGGTTCAGTTTCCCCCATAACTAACGTGGGATCGCAAGACTCCATATCTTTGCGGGATGACCTCCATTATGTTACCTCACGTTCCTCAGTTGCGGGACAGATTGCTCCAATCATTCTCAATCCCGGTCATCCCAATGAGATGTATTGATTGAGTGGAATGAGCTCCGCGGTTTCTTCGGTGGTAACTGTCGCACTCCCCTCTCCTTCCAGCTCTTCTACCTTCAAGTTGGTGCCTACCCTCCCTAGGTTGTTGGCCACGGGTGCTGCTGCCGCGGGGGCTGCTCCTATCTGAAACTTGTGTAGCCTATTGGTTGGGGCAATCCTGTGCTATGTGGCCTGGTTGGCGACACGTGTAACACCCATCTATCCTTACGCCTGTGTTAGTTATGACACCTCCCATGCATGGCTCCCTCGGGAGTTACTCCTAGGGGTCCCGGTGCAGCTCGAACGACGATGGGACGCATCGATCGCATCAGCGTTTCTATCCTGGTATTGTGCTCGCGCTGCTCTTTCTTGCTTTCCTGCACTAGATTTACTAACGTACGTGTTAGTTCTAGGATCACCATTGATTCGTTTGGCTTGGTAACAGTATCTGGGAGATGCGTAGGTGTGACCATTGTGGGTGATCCTGGGGTTGTGTCTGACATCGATCCCACCTGTTCTAGGTAGGTGACGTGGCCTGAGACGAAGCCCATGTTCTCGGATTTGTTTTGGAGTGCAGCTAACTCCGCTTTCGCCCTAGCAAATTCTGAGGAATCTCCTTCCTTAGCGTGGTCTTCTCCTTCTGGGAAGCTAGCGGCAAACTTCCGTTCCATTTGTTCTACCCCGACCATAATCTGTTGCATGGTGTGATTGATGGGGGAAATTTGCTTCTGCAATTTCGCCCGTATTGCGTGGCTTTGGAGCCCATCAATGAACAAATCTCTCCCGACCTTTTCGTCTCTTTCTGATTTGACGAACGACCTGTAGAACCTACTGCGATATTCTGTGACAAACTCGAGGGGGTTTTGGACTCGATCTTTGATCATAAAGAAGGCTTATTCGGGGTGTATATAGTCAAATCTGTGCAAGAAGCGGGAGGTCCACCCAGGCGTAGGTGTTAAACCAATGATGCACATCTCCTCCCAATCGGGCTGGGATATTAATCCTACCCTCATCATTGTCATACGGTTGTGCACGCAGTGTAGCTAACCATGCTCCGACCAAGTGATGGGCATGATTAAATTAGTACAAATATGGTGGGATTGCGGGTGCTTGAATTCGGACGGGTGGCGCGGGGATAGGTGCCCCTTCTTGCTGCACGTTAGCATTTGGCGTTTGGTTAGCATTCATGTTGGCGGCCTGTCGACCTACTGATCTACTCAGAGTTACTATCAAGTCGCACCTTGGCGCGTTTCTCTGCCTAGACCGTCCTTGGCTTAGGCTCGCCAGATCGGTCTGATTGTGGATCCGAACCACTTGTCAGCCCTTAATCTTAACATGTGTTGGCTACGATACCATTCTCACGGTCGACTCGACTTCCTGTTTTTGGAGTGATAGGGTGTCCGAAAGTGCGTTGTAGGGGTGCACCAAGGATTTTAGGAAAGTGGGTTGGAGTCCCAGGTCGGAACTTAGATCTCATGTGTCGAGTTTCAAGGGTAGAACTGCAAGCGGTTTCTGTGTCGGGCTTGGTCTTGGGCTTTGCCCTTCTTGGGATCAAGCGGTTATTTTCGCCGGCTCTGTCGCCTTGGGCGGGCGCGCACCTGGTGCACTAAGGGAACACAATGGGTATCTTTCTGTTCAAACACCTATCGCCGACGGGTTTCGCAGATCTCTAAGTCCGACTTGGACGGTCTCAACCGGAGACTGTGTTCTCAGTGCTCAGCTTCCGAGCGGGTTCGTCGTACAAATCCCGCTGCTCGATAAGTGTTGTACTGATAGTACTCAGAACACGGGCTCCGGGGCCAGTAATGCGCGATCGAATCCCTTGAAACTACCGTCAGATGGTGATAAGGGAGAAGAAGGTAGAACGGAGGAAAGTCGGTTTCAATGGCGACGAATCTCGGCGTAAGGTGATACTGATAATTACAGGGGTCGGGGTAATCTGGGGTTCGGGGGTTTCGTCCAAGAGCTTGGTGGAAGTCCCACGTGCACAACCGATCGTCCTCCGTTGGACAGGGGTAGGTCGGGGGCCGTAAGTTTGATCGGCGAAGGAGTTGCTCGTTCTCCTTGTATGTTTTATACTCGAGGTTCCTCATACTCGCATGGTCCGTGATCTAGAATGGAACAATGTCATCCATATCTGACCAGAGGGATTGGACTTATACATTTGATTGTGCGAGGAGAGGGGGCACCAGGTCATGCAAACACGCATATACGTGATGACTATCATTTGGCAATCATTCGTATATGTACGTGCACATGAGATGTTCCCACCGAATCCGAACCAACTCAGATGGACCAGCGGGCCGTTCGACGAGCGAGGGAAAATAAATAAACATTCATTATGGTGCATCAGATGTCAA